GTTCATGTAAATCATAAATATGAAATACTTTTCTCCATTCCCAGGTCGCACWGTTTTACTTTCCACTCATCATATGGATGAAGCTGATGTGTTGGGTGATCGTATTGCAATCATCTCWCAAGGTAAACTACAATGCTGTGGTTCATCTTTGTTCCTCAAGGGACATTATGGCAATGGATACTACTTRACACTGACAAAGAAGTCCCCAGGAGAGAGACCTACCACAGCTGGAACTTTGAGGGACGTTAAACTGCATCTTGAAGACATTAGTGAGTCTGCTTCTTCAGATGAAGGTGAATAGCTTCACTTGGTTCAATCTATTCTCTTAATTCAATTAATTTATTCTCTAATTTCAATTAATTCATGTAATTCAATTAAATTTTTCAARTAATTCAATTAATTTGTTCACTTAATCCAATTAAATTATTCACTTAAAATTTAATTGAGTAATTCTTGGAACCAAAATTTGCACTCAATATGGCAATAAAATGTTCTTCAGGGGAATCATTGACAGAGTTTCAATCTTATATGATTATTTTTATTAGTGTTACTAAAAATTCATATATTTTCTTAACGCTGTCATTTTTTTTTATCCCTTAAGGTGTATTTCTTGACTCTGGTGATGCCTCAGAAAAAGGAAGCTTGGCATCCAGTGCTAGTGGTTCWGATGAAACAGATGGCCACTGCAGTGCAGACTCTGTAAGCTCTTTYATCAAGAAGCACATCCCTACTGCACAGCTTGTGGAACATGTTGGCTCTGAGCTCACCTATGTCCTTCCAACTGARGCTGCGAAAGAGGGAAAATTCCAGGACATGTTTGAGGACCTTGATAGAAACTTAGGGAAGCTGCGTGTGGGSAGTTATGGTGTATCAGATACAACACTTGAAGAGGTAGGTATTGACTAATAATGATCATTGTTATGATTTTTCTAACCCTAATTATTTTAATTTTAATAACTACAAGTTTTTGTGAAAGCACAAAATGATTTTAATCATCTCAATAACAAAATGGCATATTTTAATGTGCAACACAATTGGCYGTTTTTTAYATGAAGAAGTGTTTTACATCTTGATTTTTGTTATGAAAATAAATGTCAACAATTATTATATATATCATTTTCCATTCTTAGGTCTTTCTTAAAGTTGCCGAAGAAGCTGTAGATGAAAACGCAGGTAAAATTATTAAAGCTTTACTACTGTCTGCCTCACATCATCACCAAGTTTATCATTTATCATAAGAGACACCACTCCAAATATGACAAAATCAGTAATCAACAGCTTAAAAAAGTATAAAAATTATTTCTTGTTTTGCTTCAGATCTATTTGCAGCAGAAGTCCCAAAGCGTCGCTTTAGTTTCCGCCATCAGCTTTTTTCAAGAGGAAAAGTAYGTGACAGTCTCAACGACAAGATTGAACTGCTTGACAACATGGAGGAAGAAAATCCAGGTATGAATTACTCATTTTAGATGAAAGATGGAAAAGCATTAACTTTTGTGTCTTCAATCGTCACTTTAAGGCCAAATATCAGCTCCCTGGATGCATTTGCAACTGTTTGTTGTTGTTTTGAAAAGAGGTGCTTGTCTTTGATTGGTTGGTTTAACCATACAAACTTTGCAACTCAAGTTGTCTGTGGTAAATTAAGTTTGGAAATTTTAGATAATTTATACTTTTTACAGTAATGAATTATTAACTCCTATTAACCTGAAAGAAAATATTCTAATGTTTAAATTAGTACATTCAGTAGTTTTAATAGCTAAACATATAAGTTAGCTATTTTAACCATTGAATTTAGTAGATTTTTTTTCTCACTTTATCTCTCTGTAGACTTCACCTTCTCTCTTCTTTATGTCAGTGCTTTTGTGCCTTTGACATTATTTCCTCAACTCTTCTATGCTTCACCTCTGACAATATTTGATATCAGAAATCAGAGGAGATCAATTATTGGATCTTTGATTTCTTCAAAAGGTCAGAATTGATATGCATTCACTTGGTATGCAGTCGCTATCATTCATTCTTGGAAAAGTTGGCCMAAGKAACATRATTTTAATGATTGTGATTGATTTTGATATAAATGAGTTGCATGAGTTGTTGTTCATGTTCAAATAGGTTAGAAATAGGCACACCATTGCAAATAACTTAAAAAAGGTTATGGTTATCCCATTTATTTATAAAAGTCACAAAGAGAGGAGGCAGTTCCATTAGACCAATCAACTTTGCTACAATGCTGTTATATAGTATAAATGTGCAACATTGYGCAAAGATACATTWAAGACGTTGAAGTTGTTTACCATCCAAATTTTGAACAAGAACAACAGTTATGTTAAATTAGACTTTTTGTTGTGTTTTAACTATTTTTGTCTATAACTTACACTGTAACACTCTCTTATTTAATAATCCATGAAGATTTGTACTCCCTTTTACTTTATTTGTGATTAAATTTTGGGCTTTATGAAAATTAGTTGTCAGGATTCACAATGCAAAATGAAATTATTTGTCACTGGCTTAAATACATTATTATAAAAACTTTATCCAGATGTTTTGGTCTTCTGTTGTAGACCTTCACTAGCACATTTAGAACTCTGGTTATATATCTAAGCCAGGAGACTAAGATTTCATTTCTACATTTTGGGATGACAAAACCGAAAAGGAAGCAATTGTATTTTTTGTTAACCAGAGCTTATTATTACACCTAATTTAGATAACAGAGCCAATGATCCTGCTGATGATGCCGTTGATGGCAGCTACAATGTTGATGGCAAGTCTTCTGGAATGAAACTGCTCTTCAGGCAATTCTGGTCTCTGGTCATCAAGAGATTCCATCATACAAGGAGAAACAGGAAAGCCTTTCTTTCTCAGATCATCCTTCCTGCTATTTTTGTTTGCATTGCCATGATTGTTGCCCAGATCCGTCCATTCTATGAAATGCCTGCCATTAAATTGTCAACCAAGATGTTCCAAGACTCTGTTCCTAGTGAACAGTATATGATGTTTGCTGATGATGATGCCAATGATGCCTATTCTAACAGTTTGACAGACATTTTCCTAAATTATCCTGGGCTAGGTAAGTTTRATAAAAAAGCAATTCCCTATTAATGATATACACCTAATTACGAAAAACATTGTCCTGAGATTTAGGGATTTAGGAAATTAGGAATACATTAAAAGACAAAACATGACCACTGAAGCCGAACACTTTGTTTTGTATTTTAGTTAATTCCTAAATAGTAAAAGTTCTTTTTTCTTGGACAACGTTTGTGTAATTAGGTGTACATTAAAAGTAACCAGTTGTATATCTCAAACTTTCACTTGAATATTCCTCATGTTTCCCGCTACCATCATTGAATGTAATCGTGGCTGTGCACTAAAGTGAGACATATGATAGAAAAGTATTGCATATGACAGAAACTTTTGTTCATACCAATAGAAAACTGAATTTTCTATCGGTGTGAGCAATTGTACACTTTCAGTTGTTTTGCTTCAATGCCAAGCRCCATAACATTAATTCAAGATGGCATAGTGAAATTGTATGTGGTTTAAATCATATTGTTTGCTCAGTTATGCAAAGACACAAATTAACTAGCATACTAAAGCCTTTATTGACCGTTGAACTAATAAATATCATTTCAATTCATGTCACAGGTACAGCTTGCATGGATGGTTCTTGTCCAAAGGTGCCAATCAACTTCAAAGGTCCAATCACTGGACCAATCACAAATACTCCTAACTGCTCCTGTTCAACTGGAATTTCTATTTGCCCTGCTGGGGCTGGAGGACCAAAACCAAGGCAGTGGACATCTTACTCAGGGGACATTCTGCAGAATGTGACTGGTAGATATATTCCTGAACTCCTTTTGAAGACACATGACCAATATATCAGAAAAAGGTATTTACATTTACCATGGATAAAGTTTAAAATAGCACAAATAAATTGGCATTTAGACTACAAACACTCAAAGTGTGCACCAACATAAATAGCACTAAATACTGCTAAATTATGATAATTCTATTGTTTAGTTAAAACTATTTATCAGTGCACATTTCTGTTTGGCAAAAGTGATACTTTCCAATAGGGAGAAAATGATGAAAATCTATTTAGTCTAGACACGTTGCAGTTAAATATGAAATATAATTTTATTTTATTGATAATTTTTATATTTGCTTGTCTTGAGTATTTTTTTAGCTGCTAAATTAGAGCTACCCCAGATAAATAGGCAGAAACAATTAGATTTGGTTGGGGTTTTACCTTTTTTTGAAGTGTAATAATACAACRACATTTTTGTACTGACATCTGATAGGTATGGTGGCATAACATTTGGAGACAACATTCCTAATCTTCCAAGCAGCATTAGAGAGTCACAAGACCCTGTTGTAAAAAGAATGATATCTTATAGAAACACCAAGGTAATAATTATTGTACATGATGAAAATGGCAACAATATGGCCCTATATATACCTCAATGTGAACAAAGTAAGATTTCTCCCTTCGATATAAATAGATACTTTTCCTGTTCTTTATGGAAGGGAAATCGTATTTCCTCTGCTTCAAGGGAAGGTCTTTATCTAATAATAGTATATTTTCTTTAATCCACAGGCTTGGTATGACAATAAAGGYTACCACGCCTTACCAACCTATGTAAATGTGTTATCCAACAACATTCTCAGGAACAAGGCCAAAATGAAGGGATTGAATCCAACAGAATATGGTATGGTTAACCATTAATTTCTGTTGAAATGCTGGTTTAAACTGCAGTGAAAGGAAATGTGATTGTTGCAGTGAAATAATAATCTTTGTGATTATTAATCAAATGTATCATCGAGCACTGCACTGGCATTGCAGAGGTCATGGGTTCAATTCCTGTTGAAGCCCGCAATTTATTTCATTAAAATAATCACTTAGATTATTCCTTAGCCATTTCCTTATTCATTAATTTCTATTGCATTGAGACACATATATACAGGATTTTCTTATCAAATCACTTTATTATAAACTAGTGGGTTACATGATTTAATATCTAATGTTTGTCATGTACACTAGGAATATCAACTTTCAATCATCCAATGAACTACACCAAAGAACAGTTGAATGACCAGACATTGTAAGTAATAAAGTTAAATACATGCACATCCATCAGTTTTCCATGTCATGATATAGTGATTGCTATGGTTAATTGTGAACTTTTGTGGTAGCTCTTCCCTTGCTGTCATCTTTATTATCATCTGCTCAAASCAATACTGTGTAGTTTGTTTAAGGCGGCTACATGTACCAATCACTTCTCCGTCCAGAAACTCATGATTTGTTTACTAAAATTCTTGTTTATTGTTTCTAGTATAAAGCAAGCTGTGGATGTTCTTGTTGCTATTTGTGTGGTGTTTGCTCTATCATTTGTGCCAGCTAGTTTTGTGGTGTTCCTGGTCAATGAACGAGCTACCAAAGCAAAGCACCTTCATATGGTTAGTGGTGTGCGGCCATACATCTACTGGACTGCCAATTACTTCTGGGACATGGTGAGTGAAGGAGATTGTTGTCTGTACTTASCAAAGCACAGTCTGACAGTTTTCTTTGTGCAAGTTTTCTTTTGTGAAGCACTGAACAAAATTTGCATGATTACACTAATCTGCACAAAAAAAACACTAATCTGCACACAAAAAAAAACACTAGCAAATGAGGCTAATCAAGGCATACTAAACTGTTATTATAATAATGACTTTACAATCAAAAACCATAATTACATCAGATTATATGAAGTACGTGAAATTCAATAATTAAAATAGTATATGATAGTTTTCTTCTTTCATGAATAACCAAAGTGTATGAAAATGCTATGAAATCATTAATTAATCGTGATATGTACAAACTAGTGATATACATTGTAAGATCACATTCCCCCACAATGTGGTGCATGAGAGTACATATATATTAAACATGTTTTTCTTTWTATCTTTTAGTGTAGTTACCTCATTCCTGCCATCATATGTGTGCTCATTTTCCTTGCCTTCAACGATGAATCTTATACTTCTGCAATGAATTTCCCACCAACCTTCTTGTTGTTGCTGCTTTATGGGTGAGTTCTTATTGTAGTACTACACTTTCTTTTCTATGCTTTCAAGATGTTACATCATTCTATTCCTTCTTGGTTAGTCACTTACTGTAAGAGTTTTCAGGACAAATAAGTGCCTTATAAATGTTGTCGACAACAACTGTTGCATACTCTCTGTTTTGTATTCACAAATGTCATGATTGTGGTCCTCATAAGTACTGAGTCACAGCTAATATTATTTCCAATATTTTCCTTTCCAACACAGATGGGCCGTTACACCTTTRATGTATCCTGCCTCATATATATTCAGCGTTCCAAGTACTGCATACATTGTCATGATCTGTGCCAATTTGTTTATTGGCATTAACTGCACATTGGCAACATTTATTCTTGAGATGTTCCAGGATGATCAGGTAAAATATGTTACTTTATGAAGAATATAGTGGAATGGTGCTATTAGGCGTTTCTGATGTTAAGGCGTTTACATGTATTTGTATAAGTCTAGTTTACAAATACAATGAATGTTCCATGTTGTATGGGAATAACATTGCCTGTCCCATAATGGGAAACATTGTAAAAATCATTAAGCTAATTAATATTTAACTTCAATTTTTAGGAGYTGATTGACATCAATAATTCCTTGAAAGCAATCTTTCTTATCTTTCCCAACTACTGTCTTGGYCGTGGACTGATTGATTTGGCTAAAAACCAATTTATGGACATTTTTAGTCGATTTGGTATGTAACAATACATTTCCTTATATTAATTTATCAGAAGCAAGGATGGGGAGCAAGGATGGCCGAGCAGTTAAAACGCTGGTCTATCACCGCTGTGGTCCTGGTTCGAATCCCGGTCCAGGACTATATGTGATTTGAGTTTGTAAGCTGGTTCTCTTCCTTGCTCTGAGGGTTTTTCTCCAGGTCCGCTGGTTTTCCTCCCTCAGTCAAAAACTAGCTGTGAGGAGTGACATGTAGTAAAATAATGACTCATTTCTTTCATTTCTATAAAAGAGCTTTTTAGGTGTGCAGTAATGATAAAAAAATACTTGAATATGTTCACTCTWACAGGGCAAAATCTGGTAAAGGATCCCTTCAGCTGGGATATCACAGGTCGTAATATCATGGCTATGATTATCCAAGGRTTTGTGTTCTTCGCCATCAATGTTCTCATAGAATATCGATTCTTTATCAAGCAAAGGTAATAATTATCAATCTTTATTTTTCAAGTCAATACCTTTTTTGAGAAAATGATTTTGTTTGCATTTCGGATTAATTTTAACATTTTTTCAAGTACAAACAGTTGATTATCTTCTCATGTACATTGTGTGTTATTGTGATACATGTACGTCATTTATTGTCTTTGGTTGATTTGAAATAAGCATAAATACATTCAATAATTATTGTTTATTATTTAGGCCTGTAAAGAATGTTGTCAATACCTTATCTGAGGAAGACGAYGATGTGAAACAAGAAAGAAGACGAGTTGTTTCTGGGACAGGAAGCAGTACAGATGCTATGAGGCTTGTTAACCTCACCAAGGTACACAAAAACAACAGGACTGAACTTTACTACAGGAAATGTAATGCTAACTGATATTTGGTATATATAGATATTCAAGGTCCGTTCGAAAGTAAATGTTGCCGTKAATCAGCTGTGTGTTGGAGTCTCCAAAGGGGAGGTAAGCAAAAACCACTAACATTGGATTTTCCATCAGCAATGTCCAAATTCAAATCCAAATTCCTATTCCTACTGTTCCCTCGAGTTCATAAACTAACACAACATATATCTGCCTAGACGGGTCCAGGCTCAAATCTCCACACTTTAATCACACATGAGCATCGTCTACAATCATGATACAGTTAGCATTGAGTGCAGTAAATCACTCTGTAATACAACCATCAAAAATTCTAAAGTTCAAAAGTCAATCAAAGCTTGGACCACACTGATTACACAATCCCTTGACACACATTATATACAACTCATTAGCATACTGGGCCCAGTCCTCTCGTTCCCATAGGAACACATTTCTCTCTCCATTCCAATACGCTACGCTCCTTGTCCATTACAAGAGAAATCTAGTTTTTTACATGAAGAAGTGTTTTACATCTTGATTTTCGTTATGAAAATAAATGTTAATTATTATATAAAAAAGTTCAAAAGTCAATCAAAGTAGCTTGCAGTCAGTACAGTATAGATGTTTATGACATCCAAATTTGAGGTAGTGTCTTCCTGTCTGCTGAGTCTCCCCATTGATTGAAATATAAAAGTTGTACTTTTTGATTGTCATTTTTGCTGTATCTGCACTTGATTGGCTGATTAGTTTTAAAATCTAGTTTCCTTGTAAGTATATATAATATTCGTTAATTGATTAATATTTTATTCTGACTGTCTGCAGTGCTTTGGYTTGCTTGGTGTCAATGGGGCTGGCAAGACTACAACATTCAAGATGTTAACAGGMGACCTTCCAGTAACATCTGGAGAAGCTTATGTCAATGGTTACAGGTAATTACKTTAGACCCTTTCCACAAGTAGACAACTTTTGCAAAGGTTAAGGTTATAATTTATAAAAAGACTGCTTATCTTTATCGCAATCTTGGCAATATTGAATATTGGATTGTTTAAGGGCTAAAGTAGCCTCCTTTGCAGACGTTATTAGTATCGGTCATAAATACTAATAACGTCTGCAAAGGAGGCTAGGGCTAAAGTACCTATTTGCAATTATTGTTCACACAGCAATAATGAGAATTGTACAAATTAAAGTGTAGTACATTTGAGTAGTGTTGAATTGAGGAAATAAGATKCAGCCTCTATAACTACTTGGGGATGTTTAAAAGTGATTTGCCCAGGTGTATTTTATACCAGAATTGCAGGGAACTAAAATCTTGTCCCATCAAGGGAGAACTATACAGAACTTTTCAAAGGGCCACTTTGCCTTACTCTTTACTTTTTTATATGATAGTGTCCTATCAGAGATCCATGATGCACATCAGACAATGGGRTATTGTCCACAGTTTGATGCCTTGGATGAATTACTGACAGCTAAAGAGCATCTGTACTTGTATGCAAGACTGAGAGGTGTTCCTGAGGCTCAAATCCAAAAGGTGAGATGTGTAAAAAAATGTATCATGACCTCTTTAATCTCAAGCAGTTATCCCAGCTCAAAACTTGATTGTCCTCTCTCAAAGAAGCTTTGGTCGCCTCATTTACCTGGTGTTATGTCCAGACTAGAATTGTCRACAAAATCCTTGGACCATTCCAGAGAATTTCCTCATTTTAAGCAGCACMCACAGACAATTTCATCCCCCCTAGCCCCCCAAATTCAATGTTGTTATTGAGCATGTTACCAAAGTACACAGCCAACCAAGACAAGACCCAACATTGATGAAAATGGGGGCTAAGGAAGAACTGAGAAAAAATAAAGGAGACAAATTTTAGGCTGGAGACAAATAATTCTATGGTCCAAGGTTTTTTGGCAATTGTAGGCATTACATTTGTTTCCTGTTTTCCAAGCTAAATTTTTCTCTGCATTTAAAACACTGAGCCAGTGGACCTAGTTTGAATATATTTTGCTGGCTTCAAAACCAAATGATCATGACCATGCATTTAATATGTTAATTTATGCCAACATTTCAGGTGGTAATGAGTTTAATYGCTAGAATGAACCTAAGACAATACCAGGACGTATGTGCTGGCAAGTACAGTGGTGGCAACAAGAGAAAACTGTCAACTGCTATTGCTCTTGTGGGAAATCCAAATATTGTTTTCATGGTTGGTATTAGACTCCCACTTATAGTTTTATATTCTATTCCATTATTTTCTAAATTTGTTTGCATTTGAAAGAATTGAAAATATCATGACAATAATGCATCAAGTGGTTATAATTTAAATATCTTTAAGTGATATTGTAGAAATTTAATATTTCCCTTTTGTTCATAGGATGAACCTACWACAGGAATGGATCCTAAAGCAAGACGCTTTTTGTGGAACATTATCACATCTATTGTTAAGGAAGGTCGCACAGTCATTCTCACATCGCATAGGTACATAACTAACCAATAATTACCATGTTTGTGTTATTTTTGATTACCAATAATAGCAAGGCTTTTAATGGGAGGACGTCTGCATCATCAACTCAAAATTTTGCTATTTGGCCACCTGGTTTTGTAACAGTATTGTTGTACAATAGGCGATTTGCATTATGGAGTCATTTACTACAACTACCAGAATGCTTTGCCCACTTTCTTTTGTAATGCAATTAGTGSBWAWTKTTTTACTAAYCKCTAAGGGRATTAAAAATCTGAATAACAAAGAAAATGCGCAAGGCTTTCTGGTAGTTGTAGTAAAGTTACGCCATCATGCAAGTGGCCTATTTCATGAATTTTGACACAACTGTAAAAAAAGTAGGTGAAACTACTTTTACTCCTTTGTCGTCACCTGATTTTGTAGTTGTGTTAGACATTACTTGGGTATAGTTTGAAGTAGTCTACATGGCCAATGAAGAATTTGTTTGATGTTGTAATWAATTCACCCAAGTTTCCATACTTCCACTTTTATGATCAAACATTTTTTATTTAGTCGTCATCTTCTTCACTTCAACTTGGTCTGCTCTGTTACTTTGTAGTTCTTTTTTTTTGTTTATAGGGCATTGTATGTACAAACTAATTTGTTATCAATGTTATTTACTTACAGCATGGAGGAATGTGAAGCCCTATGCAACAGAGTAGCAATAATGGTCAATGGGCAGTTCAAATGCCTTGGAAGTCCACAACACCTCAAAAATAAGTAAGTTTGTGTTGAGATCTTCTCTGTAATGCCAGGTTTAAAATGATACAATTAAAAAGATTTAATCTAGGGGGCCAGGGCACATTATAAGATTTCCTAAGAAGTGCCCTTTTAATGTCTTAGCACAACAGAAAACATTACATGTTGCATGGCAACATAAAGGGATGGCTCCTAAGGAGGCTAGGGGCTCACATGCTTACTAACAATAAAATGAAAGGGTGTATGAAAGTATGCCAATCCATTAAGCCAATCTTAAAAAATCAAGCTAGACTTATACACCTCACTTCTGGCCTTACATGATATCATGATTAAGTGACTCTCTGGCAATCTCCTGCTTGTCTCAGAACCCACAACACATGCTTACAAGAAACGTCTTGGGAATTACAGGCATGTTGAATAATAAGTTCTACAGACTTTTAATTTAGATTTGCATATTTTTAGGTATGGTGATGGCTATACTGTAGTCCTAAGAGTTGCTGGACCCAATCCAAAAACAGAGCAGGTCTCTGAATTCATCAAAACTGTCTTCCCWAATGCTATTTTAAAGGTAGGAGGCTCATCTTTTAATTGTACATGTACATAACAACCAGAGAAGATTCACACACCATGTTCTAAGACTATCGTTACTGGAAAACATACTAGGTCTATTATATAATAATTAATAGTATAGAAGGTCTGAACCCAGATGAATAAATATTAATCAAATATGCAATATTTGTCAAAGTAACTTGTAAACGTTTGTAATGTGAACAGCCAGGTAGATGTAGCTCTGAAAATGAATCTTTGATGTGACTGGCAATTCAACAACCAGTCCTATCAACCAGTCCTTCTAGCTCGCAGCTGCATCCATCCTGCTGATCACATAGCAAAGTTTTTTTTTTTAACTTTGACAAGTATGGCCGTTACTTAGATTAGTATTATTATAGTTTTAGTTTTAGATTAGTATTAATGATAGTTTTATTAAATCGATTGATTGATTATTTAAACAGGATCAGCATCTCAACATGYTGGAATATCAGCTACCTTCACAAGGGCTTTCAGTTGCCAATGTCTTTGGCCAGTTGGARGCAAACCGTAAAATATTTAACATTGAGGATTACTCAGTATCTCAGACCACACTTGATCAGGTAGGTACTAAATACAACGCAATAAAAGGTGATAATATAGGAGGCAATGCACTACTACTTCAGTGTGTGTTTTGTAAAACTTTCCCCATCACACAATGCTTTCTTCAAGTCAATGGGAATCATCAGATCTTWAATGAAATATTTKTTTGTTTATAGGTGTTTATTAACTTTGCAAAGGACCAGACAGATGGCATTGACGATACACGACCCAAGCGTCTTGTAGCCAATAATATTGAGTTGCCCACCATGAGATACACCCARTTAGTTGACGGCAACATACTTCAACAATCTGTTGATGTGTAGTRCACAACAGTAATTTTCACCAATCAATCGAATTCTACTTGTATTGTACAGTATTCAAAAGAATTGTGATAAATTATTTTGTCAAGGTCAACTAGTCTGAGGCAAATTACTTCATSAAAATAAGGAATTATAGAAATACATATTTGTAAATCGACTGTTAGTAATGTATAATTAATGTAACCATGTGTAATATCATAACATGTACAGACTATAGTAGCCAGTCTGTCTAAAAGTACTGAACAATAATTCCAATAGGACAATTGTGCAAATGTGTCATTGAAAATAACTTCAGCACATTGTCAGGTAGTTGTTGAAAATTGTCCCATTTTACAATTGTCCTAATATGGTATTATATTATTAGCACTGTCCTTTTGATCTAATACCTAAAGTCATGCATGAGCAATTGTCTCTAGTTATATCAGACCTTTATTTCCATTCATTATTCAGTTGAAGTAAACATTTTGCACAGTAGAGTGCTCGCACTTAAAGCGTGAAACAAATAGTACTAATTACTACTGTTTTTCTAGTAATCATAGCTCAAACTCTGTTGGTGTGAGAATGAGACCTATTTTAATTGATTCCTACACCTTTAGAAATATCACTATTGACTAGACAAATGAATGCTTACCTTTATTTTGTATCTTTTTAACATTGTATTTTCTATTATAATTTTATATAGATTACTCCCACACATCTCCACAGGATGCATCCTATCCTCATTTAAATTATATTTTGTAGTCAAAGAGTCCATGCCATATGTCAGGAGCTAGAGACAACTTCTAACCAATTTGCACAAACAACAAAAGCTAATAGAAAGACTGTCAGTTTTMTGCTATACCSTGTCAGTGTWCTYGTTTTGTGAGTTGTTTGAATATGGCATGCATTCTGTAGAAAATATGCTGTGCATTTGAACAGCTAGAGCATCAAATCAATGAAACAAAACCCAGGGCTCGAAATAAGGGGAGGTCAAAGGACGAATGGGAATTTGAAAGGTTATATTAACCAGCCCTATCTGAAAAAGTGTTTGGAACATTATGTCCTGTGTAGGTCCAGACATTATTTCAAGCCTTGAAAACCTAACTGTGAAGATGTAATAGTACTATAATAGTACAATATATAGTCTAGCAGACAAAAGCTATTGAACATGCTGTCCATTTCATAGTCTTTTATTTTACACTTTTTTATTTTAKACTTTATTCATATGCATGCTCTTGGTGCACCTTATCTTTTACTAGCTTCATCCTGTTTTAGTTTCCAAGTGGTTGTGGTGCATATACATTAAGAGATTACATTGTAAATATGTGTAGTACAGGATAATAAAAGGATACAGCTTTGGAAACAAATAAGGAACTGAGACCTCTTGGAAACAATAATTGAGTGTATTTTCAACTTGTTATATGGTGTGTCCATTACATGTATATATTTTTTATTATTATRGTTGAGTTTAATGGCTAGACCCAAAAAACAGTGCACTATTACAAAACTAAATCATTATTCTCAATTTTATAGCTAAGCCTTATCTAGTCTTGTATAAAATTGCCATTTGTTTAATACTAATGAGAATATGAAGTTGTTGTTCAAGTYTTAGATTCAATGTGTAGAAAATAATAGTAATAAAATAATAGTAATCTGAATGGAAATGGTTGACTAAAATTGATTTGACCAAATTGATTTACATTGATTTTTTCTAGACTACAGTTTGCTGCTGAAAAAAAAGTTTTGAAACTTTTGTTATGTTTGACTAACATACAGTTTTGTTCCAGCTGAATGCCGGCTTAATTATCCACTAAAAGATTAATAATACATTAATATTTTATCTATAATTGGTGATAGCTGTGCTTACGTATATACATGTATGTGACTCCTGCATTCAGCAGGTGACATTACAAGCAAATGAATTTTAAAAAATAATCCTAACAAATGCAAAACATAAATATTATTTACAGTACCATTACTAAAATTTAGGTCATTAACTCAGCCTAGACAACAAAATAAATAATCTTCTATAGACCCCTTGCATGTGACGTCAAAGCAGCTTCATCTGGAGGACAAAACAAAAGATTTTTATCCTCTTGACTCTCTTGGGAACTAGAATCTATTGTTTTGTCCTCCAGTTGGAGCTGCATTCCCATGAACTGCAAGGGGTCTATACTACTGAGGAGGTCTGTTTTGGAACAATTCTTGAAAATGAGCTAGTTTTTGAAGGAAAATTTGTCATGTGTCTATTAGTTTGTAAGACAGACAGTTCAACAAAATTGAACAAGTTGCTGAAGATGATTGAAGTCTGCATTAAAGATGTTTTTAGTCCTTTTTACTTTTTGTATCATGGCTTTCAGATGGACAGCCRAAGCACACAGGTGAAACTGCATTCTCAAATGGAACAAATGGGTCCCTCCAGCCAGACAGGTACAGTAAGACCCTGGTTGATGCCAGTATTATGAAAGAACCCAAGCAAAGATGTGATATTGGAATATTTGTTAAAATCATTCCTTTAAGAGAGCAGGTGAAGATGATGCTAATGAAAACAGATATCTTGGTGACACTGAAAAAGAAAAACAACTCAGAATTTTTTACCATAGAGGAAACACAAGATTAACTAATGTCCTTCTCAAAGTTCATATAGAGCTGAATGGCTGAATGGGCATTTCTTTCCTTATACATACAATAGTCTACCTACATGTACAACACTGTACATTRTATTAATATTATTACTAACTGGAATTCATAGCTGAATAATATAAGATTTGATCTATTGATTCTAGTGTACATGAACTAACTTACAGTTGTGATTTCTCAAATAAAGAGTATCAATATCTACACTGTACTTACAAAGATGGTTTTAGGGCTTCATTATTTGCAAAMGATGAAGATCCTCTTATTGCTGCAGCAATAGGATCAGCAAGAAGGCCAGCAGCACCTTAAAGGAGAAAAACTTTAAGGCTGATTTACACGGTACRATTTGTCRCGCGTGACTTGTAGTATACGATTTTCCAACTACAAGTCGTAGGATTTTAAGCCGTGGTTCAAAATCCTACTACAAGTCGTAGGTTGCGTACGACTGTYGTAGACAAGTTGTAGGGGCATTTACACTGCACAATTCAAGTCGTATACTACAAATCGCACRAGACAATCTTGCCGTGTAAATGAGCCTTTACAATAACATAAAGTTGTTCAGAGCCAAGACATAGGGGATTTGTTTGCAGCACTGAGCTACAGTATACACAAGAAACTGTTTGTGAAAGCAGTCAACATGAATCTCTCATGCAACTCTCTTTTTTACCTTTRAGAAAACCCAAAATAACCACAATGACCATGCTGTCTGGATAAAGCTTCATTCCCAGGTAAACACCATCAAGGATCCCCCTTGTTCTGTGGGCTTCTTTGAGTATAATTATCACAACCTGTGAACAATTCATAAAAAAAACTTAATCAATTTAAAAAAAATTAAAAGTCAAGTAATTTCAGTATGATGATGCTATCTGATAAGGTGAACACATTTCATCCAAGGAATTTATGAACAAAATCAAAATAGCACAAATTTGAACTAAATTTGCAAAATGAATACAAAATTGTACAAAATACCATAAAGAGGCTAATACAATGATTTAATGCATTAACATGATCCATTTGTACTCACCCAAAGAGGTTCAGATATGAAAAACCTGGTGAAAAAATTCTTGGGAAAAAAGAAGGCAAAGTACCTAGTAAATGATTGAAAAAAGTTATTTTGTTGTGTTTTTTACGCATTATTGCACTTTGACTGTAGAGAGCATAATAAATCTGTGAAATCGTACTAGTTTTTTAGTATTATCAATCCAATGTATCATGCTATAAAGGACGTCCTGCCTCCGTGTTACAGATTTAGAGCAAATTTTACTTATTTTCATTTTGTACAATTTTCAAATAATTTTCTTGTTTTCCCTTCATTTTAAAACACATTCAATCTTGCAACCTTCAATAATCTTCTTTATAGCATCTTGAAATGTAAGCATGCCTTAGCACTGAAGTGAGATGATTGATGAGTGTGCAATGATAGACACCTGTCAATAATTGTCTATGAGTGTTTCTATCACTGAATGCTCACTAGTYGTCTTGCTTTGATAGAAAGGCCTGGCTACCTTTCAAGATGGCGCAGGGAACCACGGAAGACACTATAAATTATATCTTACCAGATTACTGTAATGACTAAGATCTTGTTAGGGTCTTCAAATAATAAGATCAAGGGCTTTCCTAATAAACTATTGATCAGAATAAGACCACTAAAGTTAGCCACCACTGTGGAGAACCAGCATGCTAGAGGATTCGTCTGTGCAAATGTTGCACCTAAAAGGATGACAATCTAATCAGAATTGTGCAGTGAGCTACACATTGCCTAGTCTATTCGGAATGGCATCAACAAAACTAGTACGTCACAATTAACTTATCTCTCTAGTATGTTTTCACTGCCATAGACGACTGACATAAAATCAGTCGGTCTATTTACTTACTTATATGTCAGATTAGTTCCTGCACTTCAGCACTTCACATTATTCAAAGGGTTAAAAAGCTAAAGAAGCCACCATGACTATCTGAGGTTTAGTTGTACTTTGATCTTATTATTTTTAGGACTTTGAAAGGACCCACACTGATATCATGTGCAAACTTTTACCAGTTTTGATAGTTTTCTTCAAAACACTCATGTAAGCTTTATACATATGCTAACAAAAGCGCTTCGATGCATTTAATAGCTTACTATACTTTGAATAATTACAAGATAAAGTAAATTCACCTTATTTCATCTCGTTAAGTTTAAGTTTACAATTTTTCAAAACTGCATTCAACAAAGAAAGCTTCTATCCATGGAATGTAAACAAACTTTCTTACCGATTCTCTTTCTGAGCCCCAAGGTAACCATCATAAAATGGCCACAATATAACAGTGGCAGCATTGGAATCTTTTGGAATCGATCGGCATATTCATCGAAAAGATCAGTCAAAACATTCATGATGGGAAAAAATGGACTGAACCATAACCTAACACTCAAAGGTCGAGAATCCAATTCTAAATATGCATCTGCGATACTCAGCGGTGATTAATTAAAAACACAGGCAGCCCAAACATTCGAAGTCGTGTTCTCTTTTTTTCTCTTCTTTTTTGGAAATACGAAAGAAATAGTTAGTTTGCCCTTTTTCACAATTAGACCTAATAATAACTTAGAAGCAATATATAATTCATAGCGCAATTTCACGAGTATGTGTATGTGCGCGTAGCACGCTCGAGCACGCGGTCTTCCTATGGTATTCTAATTTACGTCGCGAAAAACGTCATGGAGTAGATTATGATGTCACAATCATTAATTGAAACCAGATTGATTCAGATTTCACTGAAGCAACACGCGTTTTTGACACACTTAGAGAAAATTATTTCATAACTATTAATATACAACTTAACTTCACCGTTTGACCATGGGGTGTGCGCAAAGCAAGCCCATGTGTCAATGCTTCGGCAAAAAGAACGTACCGGAGGTAAAAACTGCTTTATTTTTCACGTGCGCTTCTCATTTCAAAACTCTTAACTTTTCATTCAATTCCTTATCTTCTTTTTGACACAACTACACACTTTTTTCTGTCTTTTAGCTTAGAAATAGGCTGCATTTGTTGATCTAATTTGATATTATCTGGTTGTAGGTCTATAGAATTCCATCCTGCACCACTGAGGTAAGATGCTTTAAAATAGCATTATACATAGCCAGTATAGTATGCATATATAAGAAAGCACATAAGCAAAGCCAATAAGTACACAAGTGTTAAGGCGGAGTATGCCCTCGGGAGAGGATGACATAGACATAGAAGCGCGGCAAATTATAACATCGTGCTTCATCGTGAGACTTTTTTGAATACAGAACGCAAGTTCGACAAAAGAATTGCATGGCTTAGCACGAGGCACCCAGAAAAAAAAAACAGAACAACGGAGAAGTTCTGAAYAAATTTAAGCCATAGTAAACACCGCAAAATTATAGTGGAAAAGTAAGAGGCAGTAAAGTCGAGTTACATGTACAAGTCAGCAGCATTCATTTAGTCCATGGGCTATTTTTAGATTTCTGTATTCTAGCCAATCATAATACACGAATTTTTATCCCTGCGGCACCTGATTGGATAAAATCTTGCATGAACTCAGAAAAGAAAAACCAGTGATAGTAGCCGGACAGCCGAATTAGTGAGATTTTCATAGATTTTTTAAATGAGAAATCGTATTCTTAAAGCAACAATGTGCTCGAAAATGAGAGTAGAAAACATCCTTCAAAGTCAGTCTCACTTATTGGAAGTATAATTAAGACTTATGGCGATACGGATTCAGAATGTGCTGTCAACAAAGTTAAGGAAAGTAGCAAAAAAGAAGCTGTGAGATGAGCTGAGCTGGATTAACTTATAAACATTATAAAGGAAAGCCAGCAATGATTCAAAATGTGAAACTCTGCATTACTAAGTAAAAGGAATAATTGCATGAAGCATGTAGGTATGTTTATTATGATATTTTAGGCACTTTGATGACTTTTTGAGAAGACGTTTTTTCATGCCGTGTGCTTCGTAGTTTGCTGTCCTGTGCGACCCCTGATTTTTAAGCTACTTTTAAGATGCTTTTCCTTCCAAATATATTTTTTTAATTATAATTTTCAATAAACATAACTATTAGGAACTAGACACTCCCTTGACAAGAAGCCAGTATTCAGTTGAGAATGATCGCAAACTTTACTAACTTAATTAAATACGACGATTTGTTTTCACAAGTTGTTTGGGTTCTGCATTTAAGCTTGCTTAAACATTAAGCTTAACTGGCTTAACTTAAAATGCTTATTAACCTTACTACATTTCTTACCTTCCGTTGTCTTCAAAACTCAGTTTTAACTTTTTTAATCCATAATAAGTAAGCTTAAGCTTAAAGTAAAGTTAACTTAAGGCTTAATAAGTAAGCTTGACTATTAAGCTTAAGCTTATAAACTCACAGCCACTTGAGTTCCTTTTATAGTTTTGTTTTTGTTGTAGTCAGGCTATTGTTGTTTTCTTTTTGTATTGTAATTTTCTTTTTGTATTGTAATCCAATAACGAGATTTTGCCCCTAAGCTTATGTCAAAGATAGCTAATAAGACATTTCTTGTAAATTTGCAGGCGACTCTTGAGTCCCTAGAGCGAGAAATCTTACGATTTAAGGCAAGACAAAAGCAAGCAGCTCGAAGGAGAAGTAACTTTAGTTTAGGTAAGCTTTATTTGACGTTTTTAATTAATTAAAAGTATTTTASTTCATCATTGCAAAACTGAAATTCGTTGCTTGGAAAAAAGATCGTTCTAACCAATCACGTGACCCGAGCYATCAAACTTATATGTTCGGGAAAAAGCACTAGCTGGCTAGTGCTRCATGGCTGGCATACTCGCTGATGTGCTGTTTTTGAATGGAAAAATAGACTTTCCTTCATCATATATTATACATGGTCTAAAACTGTGCAGTCTTATTAATTTTACACGATTAATTTATGTCACGTGATGCATTTAAGAAATGTAAAACGGCACTCGCTACGCTCGTGTTTCTAACAATTCTAAGCTTGCTTCTCTCGTGTTTTTGAACTCTCAACGTGTTTATATCAGAGGACAGAGACACAAGCGGCCGTTTTATGTTTCTTAATTATATAAYAATCAATAAAGATTATTTTGATGTTTGGYCMTACGAAGCGAAGCACTATATCAGCGTTGGCTAATAAAATCGTAACAAATTATTTTCYTCTACGCAGCAAAACAAAACACTGAAAGCAAACAGTCGATTCAAAAGATTCARTCGGCTCTAAAGTTTACCACAGACCGTAATGTTGATGTACTTGCGAAAGAACAATTATCTGAAACTGAGAAGACAAAGGAAAACCAAAACGTCGTCCAAACAGAGTCTGCCAATGCTGACAGGAAAGYGGAAGGTATCCCTTCAGTCGTCCCCGACCTGGTCGACAATGTAGCTCAGACAGTATCTGCTATAGCTGACAAGAAAGAGGAGGACATCCYGTTAGCCGTTACCTCCTTGGTTGAGGAAATCGTTCAGACAGTAACTGCCAACACTGAGCAGRACGCTAAAGAAACCTATTCAGTCGTCTCCAACCTGATCGACGAAATAGTTCACACAGTATCTAGCAATGCTGACAAGGGCGTTGAGAATATCCCTTCAGATGTTCCCATCCTTCTCGGAGACGTCGTCCAGGAAGAATCTGTCAACACTGACGAGGTATTGGAAATCTCTTCAGCAGTCATCGCCGTGGTCGATGAAGTCGTGCAGACTGTATCTGCCAATGCTGACCAGCATGTGGCGGAAGAAGTCTTCCTAACAGCATCATTCAATGCCAACGAATGTGCGGAGGATATCAATTCGGCTGTCGCCGTCCTGGTCGAGGAAGTCGTTCAGACAGTCGTTACCATCACCGACAAGGTCGTTGAGAATGTTCCTTCAACTGTCGCCACCGTTCTCGGAGATGTCGTCCAGACAGAATCTGTTAACACTGACAAGGTGTTGGAAATTCCTTCAGCAGTCATCGCCGTGGTCGAGGAAGTCGTGCAGATTGTATCTGCCAATGCTGACCAGGATGTGGCGGAAGAAGTCGTCCAAACAGTATCAGCCGATGCCAATGAATGCGCGGATGATATCCATTCAGCTGTCGCCGCCCTGGTCGACGAAGTCGTTCAGACAGTAGTTACCATCTCTGACAAGGTCGTTGAGGATACTTCAGTTGTGTCCAACCTAATCGACGACGTACTTCAGACAGTATCTGCCATTGCTGACAAGAAAGCGGAGGATACCAGGTCAGCGGTTGCCCCTTTGGTTGAGGAAGTTGTTCAGACAGTATCTGCCAAACTTGAGCAGGACGTGGAGGATATCCCTCTGATCAAGGAAGTCACCCAGTCAGTATCTGCTAACGCTGTCAAGAACTTAGGTGATATCCCTTCATCAGTCGCCGTCCCTGTCAAAGAGGTTGTCAAAACAGAATCTGACAACGCTGACCACGACATCGAGGCTTCATCATTCTACGAAGACAGCAAACTCGTTCCTGGAAGGTCTAAACCCGATGTACCAGCTATCAGGGAACAGAAATATTGCCGTAACGCTGAAAAGGAAACCCAAAAAGTTAACAAAGAAGTTTCAAAGACAAGGCGTCCTGATCACACATTTCAGGCTATATTCCAGAACCAAGTAACGAGACGGTGCCTCGATTTCACGCAGAGAGATATGTTAAGACACCCTATAAGCCGTCGTGAGCGACTTTCCCTTGTTAGCAGTGTCCTTGATGATACTGATGTACAGGAATTGGTGCTTCATCCCAAGCACGATGATGACGAAACACTGTATCAGGGARCACACGTCAAGAAGGTGAACCAGTRCAATGTATCTACGCAGAATGCACAWGGAACTRACGTTCCATCAAATGGTATGTCTTCCTCGACTTCACTTGTCAAAGAAAATACCKCTCCAGACGTAACCAAATCAGATGTCCATGACCTTAAAGATATCCCTTTATCAACTGTTCTGGCAGTCAAAGAGGAAGCATCTGAGAATCTATGTTCAAAGTATGCTAACGAATCAAAAGGGGAACTCAAAGTCACCACTGTCATTGCGTCAGGAAGCAACGAAAMKATGGTGCATTGTAAAGAAGAGGAGCAGCCATCTGCTGTCCAGTTATTTGATCTCAACAAACATGTTGTCAAGAGAAGATTTCCTGATCCGAAGTTTCAGGCTATCTTTATGAACCAAGTAACAGGACGATGCCTTGATTTCACGGA